GACTTTAGCTCAATCTTGCTTAAGGAGTATTCCCTCATACGTAATGTAATCTGTTTTGATTCCTATTTTAGTCTGTAAAGAAATTGATAAACTATGTAGGCAATTTATTTGGGGTTCTCTAGGAGGGAGGAAATGTCATCTTATTGCTTGGAAGGAAATTTGTAAGCCTAAACTTGAAGGAGGCCTTAGCTTTAAGAATCTTCATACTTTAAATATCTCTTATATTATGAAGTTGTGTTGGAGGTTGATTTCTTCACCTACTAATTTGTGGGCTCAAGTGATGAGTCAAAAAGTTCTCATGTTTGGAATAGCATTGTCTCTGTTTGGCCTAACTTTTCTCTTGGCATAGGTTGGATAATTGGGGATGATATGGCTGTTAAGTTTTGGAAATATGATTGGTGTCCCCAGGTTTCTAATTTATCTGCTGCTGCCTTATTCCATGTTTCTAACTTTGATCTTGATTTTCCAGTTGTTATTTTTTCTAATAACAAGGGTTGGGACTGGGACAAATTAAATCTTGTTCTTCCCCCCCCCCCCCAGATTTGTAATTATATATCTCAGATTATTCCCTCTGCTCAGTCTAGGGGTCCTGACTCTGTGTTCTGGAAATTAACAGCTAATGGAGTTTTTTCAATAAAATATGCTTTCCATCTGTGTGTTAAGGCTGATCAAAGTCCTAGGCATAACCATGATATTTTTAAATCTGTTTGGAAATGGCAAGGGCCCCCAAAATTATGTTCTTCCTTTGGAAATTGGCCCATGGTAAATTGCTTACTAACGAGGAAAGGTATTATAGGCATACGACTGGTTCTCTCATATGTTCTAGGTGTAAAGAAGCTCCTAAATCAATTATGCATGTACTTAGAGACTGTTTTTTTGCTAAGCAAGTTTGGGAGCATTTTATTTTTCCTCACCATTGGGTTCAATTTCATAGCTTAGGGATTACAAACTGGTTGCTTCTGAATTTGACTAATTTTAGGATTAGTAAATTTTTTGACTGGGCTACTCTATTTGGTGCAGTTATTTGGCATTTATGGAAAGATAGAAATTCGTTTATTTTTCAATCACTTTCTTCTTCTCCTAATCAGATCATTTATAGAATTTTGTGTGATTTTGATTTTTGGTTGAATTGTCACAGGGAGTGATCAAGCCTCTGGCCAGAGTTGCTAAGGATCATATGCATGTTAAATGGATTCCTCCCCCTTCTGGCCAGTTGAAGCTCAATGTGGATGGGGTTGTTTCTTTACATTCTGATGATGCGGCTTGTGGAGGGGTGATCCATGATAGTAGTGACAAATTCATATATGGTTTTTGCAGCAAATTAAATAGATGTACCCCTCTTGTTGCTGAGCTTTGGGGTCTATTTTTGGGTCTTCAATTAGCTTCTTTGAAAGATATTCACTCTATATGGGTGGAAAGTGATTCCAAAGAAGCCTTGTCTCTAATTTTGCATGTTCAACATCCTAATCATCCTCTTATTAGATTGATTAATAATATTAGGGATCTTATCAAACTAATTAGATTCATTAGATTTGTCCATATTTTTAGGGAAGCTAACTCGTGTGCCGATAGATTAGCCAAACTTGGCTTTGAAAATTTTTTACCTTTGTCTTATTTTGATGTTGCTCCTCCTGTATTGCTCCCTTTTCTTTGTTTAGATGCTTGTGGGAGCTAGTCTGGTAGGACTTTTCATTAGTCTGTTTTGTTTTTTGGGCTTTTAGCCCCGTTGTTTAACCCAAAAAAAAAGTTTATTTAAAAAATTTATACAAAATATTTATTTGTAAAAAATAAATTATTACATTTATCAATTATTGTTAAAAAAATACTAAATTTACTTCATTAAGGATTAAATTAATAACAAAATCCATGCCCTATTTTTTACTTATATTAAATTTGGCTGATTATAAGAATGCTATAGAGATGATAACGGGTAAAAATTTCACTATATAACATTACTATTAAATTTCTTTAATTTATCTTAAACTTCACACTGACATATAATTGCAAAAACATTATCATTTAATATCAAAATTCATGACATCTTATTTTAATTTGGCTTCCATCTTGTAAAGCCTTATATCTCATCTTAACGTGTTTTTCGGTAAAATAAAATTACAGTGTCCTATGGTATCATAAAATTATTAACCAACGAAGTTCCAATCAATTTTTTTTTTTTGCTATATATATATTTTTTAAGTTTTATTAAAAAAATAAAGTATAATCATGATCAAGTTTAAAAAAATTGTTTTTGTACTAATAATAAGTGGGCACAGTATTTATAAACTGCTGTTGAAAGAGTTGAAAATATCTTCACAATTTATGCTGGTTGAGAGAGCAATATGAAATTTTGTGATATAATTAAGCGTGCAAAGTTTTGATGAGAGAATCAAAAATATGAAATGCTGCTATTTTGACCAGGAATATTTAGCATGGTGCAACGTTACTTTTCAATTGCTTTATTTTGAACTAAATTTTTACTTTACTTATAGGCTACTATTCACGAATTTGGAAATGAATTGAGAAAAATTTTAGGTATTACTGAGGTTGAATTTCATATCCTTGGACTTCTGATGGATGATTCGACTGGTAATTGTTAAATACTATTTCAATTGTTAAATACTGTTTCAAATGATTGGAGTTTTCTTTTGGGCCCTGCATGATCATATGCAACGATAGATTTTTCCCAGCCTTGCCAAATGGAAGATCCCAACTAAACTTTTTTTTTTTCATTCTAGATATTATTCTTTTGTTAGTAATGATGGTTGGTTTCGACGTCTAATTAAATGTTTTTCTCGATAATTTCAAATGTTGATAAAAGTCACTTATGAGTATTTTGGAGTTATATTCTTTTGCTATGTATTTTATTTGTCTATATTTTTCTTTAAGTGAGTCTATTATCACTTTAAAATGTTTATTATTATAATTTTTAAAATAAACTTTATGTAAATAATTTTTTTAAGATTATTTAAATTAATAATAATAACATTTAAATAAAAATCTAAATGAAGCATAATAATAAACATTTCCAGGTAATAATAGACACTCTCTTTCTTTTTATTATAATTTTATGTTTGTAACTTTTCAAATTTGGATTAAGAATATGACTTTAACTTATTCTTTCTTCAATATTGTTTGAAGTTTGGCATCATATTATATTGATCTCAAGTTATTTTTCAATAATAATATAAATATTTCTTTCCTTTTTTATTTGCAGCGCATTGCTTTAGAGTTGTGAGTTTGTTAATGTAATATTACTTTTTATCAGTTTACTTCTCAAATAGTTATCCATACATTGTGATTTGTGAGAAGGTGATTCAATAGTAATTACACTTGAAAAAATGGTGATTTTACGGTCCTCCTTAAATTTTTATAAGTAAGAAGAACTTTACAGTAAATAAAGGATAAAAATGTAGAGTAACTCTTCAAATTTTCACTGTAGATCTTTAGCTGTTCTAAACTCCAACCAATATGTCTCTACCACTCCACCTCCAGAGTTGCAAAACTCACAGAAAAATCTCGGTGAACCTTCTACTATTTCACCCTACTTTGACTTCTCCAGTATCAAGGGCCATGTTCACCAACTAGAGGAACGCTACTCTCAAAAAAATTTCTCTTCATGTTCATAACTTCCTTCTAACAAAAACCAAAATACCCATAATCCAAAAATATAACTTTCTTCGAAACAGGATTCCAAAAACCCCCTCAAATTAAAGAAAAGCAAAAAATCTATGAAGTTGCAGGAGAAATTAAAGTGAAGATAAAAAAAAAAAAAGAGAGAACTTTTTTATATTTATAAAAATATACAAAAATTGATGGAGGCATCAGTGTTATCAGTGCATATATGAATCCAATCTTCCCTCATAGTAGGAAAAGATAAACGATGATTCCTCCTTGCAATGGTTATTTTGGATTCCATAACAGCGAGTTCTATGGTACAAAAAAGTTATGTAGATTGCATACTTTTCTTTACACCTTCAAGCTTGAAGGTTTGCGAAAGTAGTTCGATGATTACAAAGTTCTCAACTAGGCCCTATCTCCTACGCTACCATCTGTCTTCGATTATCAAATAGATAGTTAGATTTTCTTGATTCTTCAGAGAATGACGGTTAATAATTTAGACTTGCAGAATAGTGGGGAAATGAAAAGATTCATTTTGAATTGTCGTTAGTCTTTTGGTTACTTGAATTTACAGAATAATAGAGAAGATGACGATTAAATAGTAAATTATAAAATTATCCTTTTATATTTTATCCAAATTTTTTCAATCAAACAGTTCATAATGCATCTTAATATTATACAACTTTTTGAAAAGAAAATTTTTTCCTTATGAAAATTCTGGGAGGACCTTAGAATCACCCTTTTTTCAAGTGTAATTACTATTGAATCACTTTCTCACAAATCATAACATATGGATAACTATTTGATAAGTAAAATGATAAAAAATAATATTACATTAACAAACGCAAAACTCTAAAGCAATGCATTGCAAATACAAAAGGAAAGAAATATTTATATGATTAAAATTTAGATGAGTTCTAATATCCTCCCTTCTTTTGTAAAAAAATAAGGGAAAGAAAACTTTTGTAAAAGCTATAATGTATTATGGACCTTTGATTTTAATCGAATGGTTAAGAATGAATTATCGGATATCGATTATTCAAGTTAGATTTATGAAAGGATACATCGGTAACTACTATTAAAGATACTGACTTCAATAATATTTTTCAAAAAACTTTAAAAACATTCTTGGTATATACCATTGCTGCAAATTTCTCTAACTCAACTGCATGACTTACAGGCACTATATAACCATAACTTGACTTAAAATTCATTTCTTTTTCATTGTTACAAATGTTATCGAGACATTGCTTAAAATTCTCCATAAATTCTCTCAAGTTATTTCTTGACTTAACGTACTTACAAATTTGAGAATGTAAACCCTCACATCTTGAGGTTGTCCTTAACTCAGCAAAGAACTTACCCTTAATGTAAGTTGTACACTACATCTCTTTCTTATTATATAATTCCTCAACCCATACATTACCTCCCAAATGACACCCCTCAACGGCAGAAGCCCACTTCTGTTCAAACTGTTCAATGTCCAGGTCACCAAGCATGCATTCTTTAAACAATTTACTAAACCTTTCATTGCGAACATTGCATGTCACATTCCTTATAAATGCCACCCACATAATCGATGATGAGCAGTTGGGAAAACTTTCCTGATGGCATTCCTCATTGATATATCATCATCAGTAATCACATAATTATGACACTTACCCTTCATTGTTGTTATAAACTATTGAAGGACCTATACATAAGTATCCTCCTTTTCATCAAATACAACTGCACACCCAAATACACACGTCTGTTTATGATGATTGACACACATAAAAAATACAATAAGATATTTGTATTTATTCCTCCCATAAGTAGCATCAAAGGCAACATCTCCAAAGATGTCATAATCAATTTGACTCATACCATCACACCAAAATATATGCAACAATCTATCAACCTTGTGACCGCAATACAACTTGGGATCCTTAAAGCCCAAACTTATTAAGAATTTTTCTGCCTCTTTAACATCCCCATCTTGTCCTCTTCTATCTCTCTCAATCTTATTATACATATCTTTTTTGCAAAAGCCAACCATGTCATAACTTCCTCTTTGGCTAACAAATGAATCATATATTTTGCAGGTTGGAATACCACTTTTCCTCATTCGACGCATCTGTTTAACATCACCATCATTCATTTTATGATGTGACCTTAACATTCCAAAATAATTCACATCAACTAAATTATGATTATGATCATCAAAGAATCGACAAACTACCTAGCACCCTCTATCTACATCTAAACGTATCTTCATCTCTACCTGATGAATCTACATTTTATCAATTTTTACTTATCTTTTTAGTATTCTTTAATAGAAAAAATAGACTTAGGAAGTGTAAATAATATAGCAACACTATTTTGGTCAAATATCATAGGTTTTTTAATTTTTGGTTAATTTACATTGATTTACATAGATATAATTTACAATTTTGATCATTTGAATAATTGTGCAGAAATTTTTAGACTTATTCCATGGATTTTTAGCATTTGAGAAAGTTTGAGTTGAAAGTGACCACTTTGGATTCCATAGTGGACATTATAGAAAGCTAGATCTAGAAGGGCAGACCAAAGTGATCACTCTGATTCCATAGTAGACACTACAAAGACCTCAGTTTAAAGAGGTGATGTGTGTAGCTACTTTGGTCCCATAGAAGACACTTCAGAGCAAACCAAAGTGATCACTTTGATTCCATAGTAGACACTACATAGAAGGCCAAAGTCGCCCAGTTTTACGTGTGGCCTACTATGAATCCATAGTAGACACTCCGGAGAGGGTCAACAACATGGTGATATGTGCGTAACCACTATGAAACCATAATATCTACTATGGGCGAAAATCTATGCATTATAAATAGAACTTTAGAAATTAGGGTACGGAACTTTTTATACATTTTTATATTCTTTTGTCATTTTGGAAAATATTTGCAGAGCTTAAGTCATCCTTGGGTGACAGCCAAGGACCAATCCCAGGGTTTGATTCACATTTCTTCTTTACTTTCTTTTAATTTTTACATTGATGTCATTGATTTCTCTTTGTTTTCATCCTAAATTTGTAAAACACATCGTCATGGAGGGCTAAACTTTCTTATAATCCTTAGTGAGTTCATGGATTCTTGAATTCTTGGGTACGAATGTCAATATAATTCTCTTTCCTTCATGAATTTATATTTTCCAACTCTTTGAATTAAATTAATAGTTGAATGAGAGAGACATTGCTTAATTAACTCTAATTCGTTTTAATGAAATTTTTAACTTGGTTTCTTTAATCCTAAGTTAGTTTCTAAGGTTGCGTAATCTTGGGGAAAAGAGTTGAAGTCCATTAAATTTGCTTAAATTTATATTGGGTTTTAAGGTTAATTCTCGCTTGTTGAGTTAATCTAATTCAGAGAAAGAGGAAAAGTATTGGATCTTGAGAGGAATAAGGATATAATCAAATGAATGAACTAAGGATTGCTACATTTCATTGATTGAACTCATTAATTTCTTCACTTGCCTTTACATTAAAATTGGAATCACACAAAACTCCCTTTTTAATTGTTTTCATAGTAAATGTTTACAACATGTTCAATGTATGTTACCAACTAAAGTCATTAGAGACAACCTAGGCTTGCATCCTAGATTACATAAAAATTCTGCATATTTTGATGAGGATTGGCGATAAATTTTTATGCAAATCTTTCGTTCATCACTGCCTCACAGCCAAACCCAGTAATTGCTCTGTGCTCTCGAAGTCGATTGGGGTTACATCTGTACATTTCTCGTTGAAAATCTAGACTTGAAAAAACAAATTGCTGCCACACAACATCTTCATTCTTATTTTTACCTCGTTTATTTTTCCTCACACTAAACCCATTAATTTTTTCATATTTATTATAAAATTTATAACCTTCGTGAACACTCAAAAATTCCATTCTCTTAATCTCAGTGCTACATAAATCAATAAAATTGACGTATTCATCCTTGTGCATATCGACTTCATCTTAACTTGCTATTTCCTCATCCACATTGCATTCCTCAACAATAACCTGTAACATATATAAATAATACACATGTTATTTGGATTATAACAACTATGATTATTCACTGAAATACACATAGCCTACACAAACCTTGTTGTTTCCTTCATCATTTCGAGGGAAATCCATGTTAAATTGATTTATATAATGGTTATTTTTTGTCTTCCTCAATCCTTCCGTTGTCCTATTCTCCTTTATCTTTGCACTGCAAATTCGTTTTGCCCTTCTTTTCTAACTAAGTATTCCACCTCTTCATACCAAAAACCCTACCACTCTGTCACCCCTCTCACCAAGGCTTCGTTTTGGCTAATACAATTTCTTACTATTCTCACACATCTCATAACCTATAATTCAACATTCGAATTCATCATTATGCCCAATAGGTCTACGAACGCATCGGCTTTTGTTTTGGTCACTAACATAAAAGCAATGAAATATAGATAGTTACTACAACTGGCAAACATTTGCATCGGTTATGTGATAAAACCAATGTCATTAGGCGACCATCTATTACATTTGTGCATGGACTTAATTTGGATCGGTTGTGTGGCATAACTAATGTCATTAGGCAACCACCTTCTACATTTTCTGCATTTGCATCGATAGTGTAGTAAAATGATGTCATTATGTGACCACCTTTTACATATTGCGCATGCACTCTATTTGCATTGGTTGTGTGCTAAAACTGATATCATTTCACGACCACCTTTTTCATATTGCGTATAAATTGTATTTACATTGATTGGATTTTAAAATAATGTCTCCCCTTTACAATTGTCTCATTAGTGTCTCGTGTTAGTCATATCTACATCGAATGTATGGGGCGTATGATGATGTTAATGCAATTTCATGTACACAACTTGTCTGATTTACATTATTAACCCTCTTCATCCTACTCACTAATAACTCCTATCTGCATTTGTTTACCTTTTCAATATTTAATCTTAGCCATCCAATTTTAAATTGTCACGATCAACGGCTTAGTTTTAATTATTAATCACTTATGCAAAAACAATGCTTTCAGAAAAAAATACATTTTTTACAAAAGAAGGAAGGATATTAGAATCACCCTAAAATTTAAGTTTTAAATTGATGCTAAATGATTGGAGAATTCTGCGGTCCTCCCATCTTCATGTAAAATTTTTAAGTCATTTTTTAACCGTTGATATTATATTCTTTTGATTCAATGGCTAGGATTTAATGTTAAAAATTAGAATTTTTTTAAATATTTAAGTATTAACAAAGGACAAAAAAATAAATGCAAACATTCACTCCAATCTTTTGTTCATTATTCCTGCACCTCTCTCTCTCCTATCTTTTTGTTTACTCTCACTCCTCTTTTACTTCTTTTTCACTTTCTGCATAATCTGTCCTCTAAATGCTTTTTTTTTTACACTCAGTATCATGCTTTCTCCCTACAGCTTGCAGCTAATTTGTTCATTCTTTTCATCCAATCTACCAAGAGCCTCCTCTTTCTTATTAACAAAGAGGAAGTGTAACCTCTTATCACAAATCTTTATAACTTAGAGAGAAATTGTGTGTATGTCTCTTATAGCTTTGATGCATGTATCTCTTTCTTTTTCTCTATTCTATTCCAACTTGCGTGGGGTCTTTAAAGAGGAAGCAGTGTAACTTTGAGAACTTGGATCCATGCCTCTATTTCTTACCCTCCATTTCATTCCATTGCAAAGCAAACTATGGTGTTTTTCATGAAATGAGTATTACAAAAAAGTTTTTAGCTTCCCTGAGTGACTAAAAAGAGGGACGAACAAGAAAGCAGTGCTTGTATAAGTTTCACTATTTTAACTCTTTCATTTACTTTTGAGATGCTAAATCTGAAAAATCTACAAACTTTTCAAATTAAATGCAACATGTGTGACTTATATTTTCAGGGACTGTTTCCAATGCTAGACTTTGAGAATGTGTTCAATAACTCCTAAACCTTTTGTAGTATAAACTTCTTTGTTTTCATTTGTTTAGAATTACAGGTAAACGTAGCTACTTAATAAACATTTAATGTATAATAGTAAATGTTAAAGTTATTTAAGACTTTTTGTATGATTATTTAATAATTATTTTGTTTATTTCAAAATTTTAAAATATGAACAAACTATAAAATTCAAATATTGTAGAACAGGTTTTAAATCCAATGATTGTTAATATCTCTATACTTTCTATTAAAAAATAAATTATTGGAGTGTGCTAAGCTTCATATTTTCTTATGATGAAAAATTAAATCTTTCACATTATAGTCCCTTTTTTTTTTTCTCTTTTTAGGTGGTTAAATAAAAAATGTTTTAAACTTTTTTTTTGGATGATTTAAAATTTATTAATAAAGTAATTAATTAGTTGATTATTTAATTGCATGTTATATATAAATTTTGACTGTATAATTTAATGTGTACTAGATCAATTTCTATGTGCTTACTTTAAAAGAAAACATTGGCTCTTAACGTTAATTTTAAACATAAAAATTTAGTAAGATTTTATTTAAAAATAATAATTACAGGAAATATTTTTTTCTAATATAAATGTAATACTTTGTATGTTTAAAATTGAAGATAAGGACTGGTGATAAAAACAAATTTAAATAAATTAAAGTTAAATTATGAATAATAGATCAAAATGTTACAACAGTTTATAGCTATATTTATGTTAGATTCTCAAGTAATAAGTTTAAAAATATAATAAAAATTTATGAAAAGTAATTAAGTAAGCATAATATTAATTATATTATTTTAGTATAACTAATTTATATAATCACTAAGCCCCACGGGTACCTTTTCTCAGTTAAAAAATAAAATAATTAGTAATAACAATTTCAGGAAGAAAATTATTTTTCCAATCTATGTAAATGTACTGAATATAATCAACATTATGTGTCACATCTTCGTGTAGTCTCGACATTAATATTGGGCAATGCTCAAAGTCGCATATAAATATGAACAAGAACAAGGTTAGTGATTACGTCGGTGTGCAACAATAAAGGGGTTGTGGATATGCAGGGAAATAGGCGAGGATCTTTTCCCCCTTTTTTTGTTAAAATATCTTTACTCTTACAAATAAGTACCAAGTATTATTTTGTTACATTTTCTATTTTTAAAAATTCATATAAAGAGTATAAATAATAAATTAAATTTTATTATGTTTTATATAATTTTTTAAATAAAAAAAGATGATATTTTAATAATTATGTATAAAATTAAAAGTAAAATTAATAATATTTTATGAAGCTTTGTTTAAGAGTTTGAAAAGAAAGAAAAAAACATGATTTAAAAGACTTAAGAGAGAAGGAGAAGAAAGATTAAACTCTTACCATTGAGAGATAAGGGTAACAAAGAATTTAACACATAAATGACATTATTATTTTTTTTATAATTTTTATTTATATATTTTTTATTTTTCTAAATTTTTTTAAAAATTAAAAATTAAATATATTATTTTTGCTAAAAATTAATATTTTTATATTTTTACTATTCTAATTCTAGATTATACTACATATTTAATTTAATAAATAAAAATATAAATGATAAATCTCACTACATAAGTTACTAAAACAAAAAAAATAGAGAGAAATTCAAAAAAATAAAGTTAGGAGTTTTGAAGTTTTAGAAAAACTCTTTAATCTTTCCCGTCAATCCAAAAAATAAGGTTAAGAGAATTTTAAAATTTTAGAAAAACTTTTTAGCCCTTTCCCTCAATTTAAAAGAATAAAATTAAGAAGTTTTAAAGGTTTATAAAAACTATTTAACCTTTCTCATTATGTTCAATTAACTTTTAAATAATGGTTAATGATTACTAACTCCTCTCTTTCCTTTCGTCCTTCTAAATATAAAATTCAAATAAAGTCTAAAATTACAGATCTAAGGAAAAAGGCCTATCAACACTACAGAGAGGTGTTAAACTTCTTTCGTCATATCACTTTGTTTGGTAAATGTTTCTTTAATCTTGTAACATTTTTTTTACAAAAATATAAATAAATTGAATCATTCATGAAATATTTAAATTTATCTTATTAAATACTTAATTCAATTTAATTTTTAAAAACAAATAACTTTTTATGTTAATTTAGGTTTAATTACATGAAGGAGTTAAGCCTTAATTTATAAGTTAAATATTAGAAACTACAAATATATATATATATATACACACACACAGAGAGAGAGAGAGAGATTAAAAACAAACATAATTTATATGATTGAGTAAATATGCTTAGTATTTTTAGTTTACAAATTTTTAATTGATGTATTCTTTATTATTTTTTCTTACTTTTATCATATTTATAAATAATGAATTAAAATAGTATAATATTATAATTTAAATAAAAAATTATTTTCTTAACTAATACTATAATGTTAATGGTTGAATTTGAGAAATAAATTTTTCAATATAACTCTTTTTTTGTTAACATGACTCAAAGTGATACGTTTTAAAATTACAAAATCATGTTTTCTAGTTTTCAATGAAATTAATATATTTTAATTACGTTTAATGGTTTAAAATAAATTTCAATCAAATCAATTCTACCTAAATTTAAACTATAATGTCAATAAAGGTTGTTTAATGAATCGTTTTGCTCCCGTTATCTTAACCCTGAGAAATCGTTAGTTCATAAAAGTTACATTGCTTTATATTAAATTATTACTTAATTACATTTTTTTATTATATAAGTACAAAATGATAGAGTCAACTACTCAACTTTCAATTTATTATTAGCTTAATTTAGATTGAGTGTCTAAAGAAGAATATGTTCGAGGGGAAAAATTCTTAGGTTTTGAAATTGATGTTCGTCTAATCGAGGGCAAGAGTCAATTTCCGGTCCCATATCCCAAACAAATAAAAAAATATATAAATATTTCATTTAGTCTCTAAACTTATAAACATCAATCACTTTAATTCTGAACTTTACATAAATTTTTATTTTTATTTTAAATTTTTTTATATCATTATTTTATTTACTTTCTACTTCATTTTTCCAAGTCGTGGTATCAAAAAGCACTCACCGAATATTATTTATTAAGTCAAAAATAAAAATAAAAATTTTTTTTTGTAAAGTCAATAATAAAGTTATCAATTAATTAAAAAGGATATTTCCTCAATACAAAATGGTTAGGCTGCGACGGCCATACATCTCAAGATTCATAACCTGAATCGAATCCCTCCAAGGTACCAGTAAGGGACAACTACTACCGTATGAATACATGCAACGAAGGGCATTTCCCTGCTCTTGACATGTCAATGATGCAAAAATCAGCGTATGCCACTGAAGCATATTAGAAGTGCAAGAAGCATGCGTTTCAGTAATCATTTATGCAGCCATGGCACGTGTAAAGGTGTCAAGTAAAACAACGATTGCTTAATAGACGTCTATGTATAATCTCCAGAAAGGAAACTACAATTCCAGAAAGAAGAAAGTTCAAGAGTATGCAGTCATATAATTCATTATAGTAATAATCCATTCATTTAAAAATGTAGTAGCAAATGTCAGGCACGTGTCACCACCAAGTATTCATTGGTTGCCTTTCACTTTTTGTATGCATATATATATATATATATATATATATATATATTAACACTTCATCCAGATCCGAAAGTTAACATAAATAGTTTAAAGTTTGATGTCTGCATATTATGGCAGCCAACAATCACATGATAAAACAGTTTTAACACGGAACAAGAGAGAAAACAACATCTATCGTGCTAAAAATAGTTTCTAAAGCGAGCTGATATAGCACTAGAGAATAGGTGGGTATTGCTTTGCCTGCTGCCGGACCCTTCTCTTGTACTCTGCCGCATCCTGCAAAAAAGTATCAGAGTGTAAAAAGCACACTTTCGATGGTAAGAAATTAAAATCAAAGTTTCAGCAATATAAAAAAAATGGAGGCAAACACAACATGTTATTGCATATTAGATAACAATTTTTCAGCACCTTTTCATAATATACTATGACCAAAGACCCAACATTCAAGAATGGGACCAGTCATATTAACAATCCACAGGAAAGAGGACTGATGTGGAGTATGGGCACTTTGAAAAGTATATTACCACTTCACCTTACTTTGCCTTGGTTAGTTAGTTCTATTAAATCAGACATTCTTTACACTTCAAGGGTGTATAATAAATAACACAAGTGAAAAAAATGTAGAGTTAAGTGCCTGGATGAATAGATGATAGCCTTCTGTCTGAGCAGGATCAGCAGGATTGGGCTGGTCAAGCAAGTCTTGGATGCCCACAAGAATTTGCTTCACTGTTATGGCTGGTCTCCAACCCTACACATAAAAATGAACCTATAAATATGTTTGTTTCGCATGTCTTTTCGTTGTGAATTATCCAGAGAGATGTACTTACACTATCTTCGTTAAGTATAGACAAACAAACAGTCCCGGAAGGATAGACATTAGGGTGGAAGAAACCTTGTGGGAATTTACACTTTGGAGGCTTGCTAGGGTAATCTTCACTAAAGTGCAGTGTAAGTGGGAAGTAGCCACCCTCCCAATCAGTCTGCAGTAAATGACATGTAAAATTAAATGAAGTAAATAATAGGCACATTATTCAACAAGCTGCTTAATTCATTTGCAAATTCAATCCAAGGCATGAAGACAGAACAAGATAAGATTCATTTCCAAAAAGCTTTCAAGCATAAAATATTTGAGTAACTTCTACAATCATACATATGTCAAATGGAAATGAACAGAACACAGTCAGTATGAAGCACTTCAATGAATTTTTCTCACTTACAAACCAATTATCTGGGTGTACATATCTCGCTCATTTGAAAAAGCTGTTGATTATGTGAATCCACTGCTTAAATACACAATATATATAATTTCATTGAAGTTTCTATATAGTCAATTAGTCACCACTCTACTGTTTGAGTTCCACAAAAACTAGTATGAAAATTTAAGAAAAGTGCATTTGACACAGGATGCACTAGCATGTGTTTGCATTGTGCATTAGTAAATTCATAGTTAGTGCACCATGGTGCCATTGCGACACACAGTGGCAGCTGACTGCTACAGGCACATGTTGAGGGGCATTTTTTGGTGGAGCTGGCATTGTAACCCAAACCACACCTCTGGACCACACGATAGCTGCATCATGTGGATGGGTTACAGAAACTCAATTTTGCCCCTGCTCCAGTTTTGGGCTTGTTTTAGGGGGAAAAGTACATTTCGTTGTTAGTCATACCTTAAAAGCAAAATGCCCTGCCCAACAGAGACAGCATCATCTCCAGCCATTTTTTGGCAACTGTGGGAGCAGTGAAGCTCTGCAGCCTTCTCATCTCAACAGACCAGACCAGTAAAGACCACATTTTAGTATTTTTTAAGCATTACATATGTAATGATGTAGATAGTATAGATTATATATATGTATGGCAAAATTTTAAAGTACCAGTCATCCTGCTATTTGCTATCCCATAACAAGCTAAGATGCTATTTCCAATCCTTGTAGGTTAAGTAGTTAATTAAGGGAGATGATCAAGTTTATGAATTATAGAAGCATATTGTTCTCCTCTTGATTGTTTGATGCAAGTAAACACTAAGTGTGATGCCTAGGTAAACTTCTGAAATCTTTTTATTTAAGTTTCCTATCCTACCAGACCTGATTTTGCTGCTATTGTTAGGCTAAGGCACCATCAATTATTTTACCCACCAAATCCCCAGTTGATTTTTTTGTCCACCTTGTCCTAACACCCTGCCATTAAACCCATAATCTCTAAAACTTAATGAGGATCAATTAATTTTAATTCCAATTAACCCATTTTAGTCAAAGGCACCAGAAGGGGCCAGCATATTTTGATGATATGGGCACACTGCTCCTTAAGCAAGACATGACACAAGTGTCCGTGCCTAATGTGCTCAAATGTAAAAGATTCAAGAGAAAAAAATCCAAGCCCCCTAACTTAGTAACCATAATGCTAAAGTAGTAGGAATGTCGGAAAATAGCTGGTCTCTATGCAGCAAGCAATCATTTACATTTACCACCATGTTTGTGATGCTGGATTAGTCAATTAATAAGCCAAACTAGTGAAAAATGGCTAAATATTCTATTTCTTCTTTCTAAAGAGGCGCACACTTCTTGGTGGCTTTCTACTCAAGATATTAAAACCAACAGTACAATCATGAGAATATGAAAACTGTTTCTACCACAATGAGAGTCAATACACAATAACACTCAGGTTTAGCCCAAATTCCAAATTTGAATATTGTTATAGACAGTTTAATATTTTAATAGTAAATTTATACCTCGTAACTATTATCAAGACATGACAATTTGAGATAAGAATGAAAGATGAGTGAGATATATGCAATATATGAGAAAGAATGAGAAATTTGTTTTTAATAAGAAACTAAGAACTAGTTAATTGATTGTCAAGCAAGTTCTTTTAGATTATAAGTATTTGCATTGGAGAATCTTTTGAAGCATGACAAGGGGTAGATTGCAATTTAAAGATGTAAGAATAATGACAGGGACTGCGGCGTTGTGGGGTAGAGGATGATTCACTGATTCAGAGTTTCTATAGACATAAACTCTATAATCTCATTTGACAGTGTAATGATCGCATTCCATAATCATTAGTATTTGTGCAAGCTTGTGTGAAAGGTATTCCCCCCCCCCCCCAACAAAAGGCAAATCGATAACCAAAAAAAGAAATTCCCAATTTAAACACAACTTAGGCAATAATCTTTTCAAAAATAACAAAACTAAAATCACAATTCATAACCAAGCAAGCATAACGAAAAGCAAAGGATCCAATAAAAACACAAAATTCGGGGAATTTGATTCAGCAAACGCTAAACGGAATAAAACTAGAAAGAGAGAACTCACCCCAGCCTTTCCGGGAATAGTGCAATGCCACACCATCAAATTCACGGAACCATCGGGCAGCGTCTCCGGCTTAGCAACAAAACCCTAATCATAGACAAAAAAAAAAAAAAAAAAGATTCTGTGAAACGACGTCGTTGGGAAAGGAACGAGTCGAAAAGCAGGAAAGAGAAGAGTACGGACATGAGGGTGGTTCTTCCGCCACGACTTGCGCTCCTCCGTAAGACGTCCACGAGCAATACCAGACATCGTCTCTCTCTCTCTCTCTCTCTCTCTCTCGCTCTCTCTCTCTCTCTCTCTCTCCTGAATCACGTAATACTTTACTCGCTCCGAGTCAGCACAGTGCTTCCGAGTTCGACAAGCACCTTTTTTTTCTTTCTTGGCCTTTGGCTGTGGGTTGTGAGAGTGGGCGAAGGAAGCTTCTTCTACTACTTCTGCTTCCATCGAAACGTACGGTCCTGATTCCATCTTTGATTCTCGTGGCAGGCCAACGGCCCCAACGCGTTGTCGTTTTTATGTTTTGTTTTTTCTTTTTCTTAATCGTCGCTGCCAATGAAAAGTCAATGCATTTATTCCTTCTTTTTTTTTTTATAAATTTTAAACATCGCGTGAGAATCACGCCGTCGTACCACTCACGCCTTCACGTGCCCAAGTACGTACCTTGCTTTTTCCCGAAATTGACTAACCTAATTTGGTATCCCCTATCCTATTGTAGTTTTTTTTTTTTTTTTTAATCCAAGTAAGTAATATTTCACAAAATTATGTTAACACGTCCCCTCGTATTTGATTCTCGTCCTTAATATTTTAATTAACAAATTGTAAATGTCGATAGACTTAGGCATTAAAAAAATTAAATTAAATAATTATTATCTGAATGAGTTGAAATAAAAAATATAAAAATTTACACTGATTTAGATGAATAAAAAAAATGATAAAAATAATATTTTTTATTTATATACAATAGATAATTTCATTTGAAAATGAATACTCGTAGGCACGGGTATCTTATTGGGTAAACTTGTCCCGTTTAATTAACAGATACTAAAAATTTTATTTATTACACCCCCATGAGTGCTTGTTTAAAAATCTAAACTTTCATGATAAGTATTACTCTGTATGTGCGAATTTTTTCACCATCATATGTCTTCGTTTGATAATAATTACATATCCATCGCACTTTGCTTTACTCAATGTTTTAGGTTCAAATGTGAAATTGAAAGTGAAGAATAAAAAAAATAGAAAGATAAGAAATAAAGTGAAATATATTTAATATTTGGATGAGTTGAAATAAAAGAAAAGAAAATGATTAAAAAAATATTTATTTTCTTTATTTAAATAAGTAAAAAATATAAAATAATTAAATTGTATTGAAAATATTTAAAAAATATAAAATTAATCTAAAAATAATTTTTATTTTTTTATTTTTTTTGTTTTATTTTCCTTTTTTTAAAATTAAACAAACAAACAAACAAAAACCTTCCCTAGCATGTAACCCTTCCCCTTCCTCTTTTTCTCATCATTTATCCTTAAAATGAACCTTTTCTTTAGGGCTAAAAAAAAAAATTATTTCTCTCTTTTCTCCCCAATATCCAAAAAGGAATGTTTTATTTTTCCAACTAATCTAAATCTATTTTAAATTTAATTATATGGATTAGATTTTAAACTAATCTAATTTATTTTTTAAATATGATTTTGGTTAAAAACTAATTTTAAATTTAATATTTCATTTTAAATTAATTTTAAATATAAGTTCACGTTAAATTAATTTTAAATTGAAATTTAAATCTAATTTTTAAAATAAAATTAATTTTCAATATATTTGTAAATTTAGTTTTTAAGGTAAAACTAATTTGTTGTATTGCGCCATTATATTAAAACAGTGCATTTTAAAAAGATTTTAGTAATATTTATTAATTATATTATACTTTATCAAAAACCTTTATAAAATATTTATTCTTTTTTTAATAAACATAGTTGATGATAAAAGTTTAAATTAAAATCTATAAAAATAAATAATAATAATAATAATGTTATAATATTTAAAAAATAAATTTAAATATAATAATAATAATAAAGTTAAAAAAATTTAATATAATAATTATATTTTTTAAAATATTATTTTAAATTTTAATTTAATTATAAGAATTAAGGTTAATAAAAAATATTAATTATAAAACATTGTCATGAAAAAATATTTAATTGAATAAAAATATAAAGTAGTATTTCTATACAAAATATGAATTTGAATTGAAAAAAAATGATTTTGAAGAGTGAATCTAAAACACTAATCCAGATTAAAAAAGTATAATGAACCAAAAAACCAATTTAATATATTTTTAATTTTTTAAATCGGTTTAAAATTAATTATAGATTAAAATTGCATAACTGAATTTTTGTCAAGATCAATTTTCTTTTTCTTCTTTTTGTTCAGAAAGGTAGATTTTTTAGCTTTAAAAGTGGCTGTATATAGTATGGATCTGTAGTTATTACACTGGGCTTGCACCCTATGGCATGGTATAGGGGATGATCGACTACATTGTGCTTTCATTTTTCTTTCCCATCAGCATATCAGTTGGGCCATTGTAACTGGGTGGAACTTGAGTTTTCTCTTGGGTAAGCAGATCTTGAATCGCTTTTACCCATTTAGCTACTGTTGTAGCCGCTATTTTTATGTATAGGAAAATATTATCATTAATTTTCAGAGTTGATTTTAAATATTTAAAAGTAATAAAGTTTTACTAAAAAATATATTTGCTTTATTAAGAATATAAAGTGTAATAAATATTTATTTTTGATAAAAATGTATTATTTTGTAATATTACTTAAAATTAATCATTAAACCTGATATTGACAAAATTGTTGTACATACCCACATACACATATATATACTATGTTTGCTTCTTTTATTTTTAACCTTAAGTTTACGTTTGCATGATGGAAGATTCCCACCCCCCCCCCCCTTTGTCGGTTAGTGTGGGGAAAAATAAAACAAATATATATATCGATAATTGGTAAAAAGAAATGAAAGAAATAGAAACATAATATTGTTTGTCTTTTTTATTAATAAGACCACAACTACCTTCACGGTTGACCCATCTTTGTTAACTGAGTACTAATAATTTTTTAAAATGTTCTCTAAAAAATTATAAAAAAAATATTTTTTTGAATATATTAATCCAAACATGCTATATGACTATGCATAGACATTCTGTTTTAGCCACACGATGTCATATGTGGGTTTGAATCACTATTTTCCAAGCCCATCTGTATTCCCTGGAGCTTAATTCACTATGTCAAATCCAGCCATATCTCAACATAATAAAGGAGAAAAACTATAATATTATATAATTTTGATTTCAATATTTTGTTCCTATGTTAGTAAATGCTGATACTTACAATCTTAAGATAATTTAATTGACGAATCATAAATATTATTTTGATAATCTTGTATATGAAATTTCATAAAAGATTATTTATAGACATAATTTATAATTAATGTTTATTTATATTTTAAAAAATGAAATTAATCGCTAAAGTACGTATCAATTAATTTAAAATCATATAAAAATATTGAAGGAAAAGATGATGGAGAAAAGAGAGGAGCAAAGAGAAAATAAAAATAAGTTGGCATGTCATCTTTTCCTTCAAAAGCTTAAGTGAGTGCATGATTCTCTATTCATTCTTTTAAAGCCATGGCTTTGTAGTTAAACTTTTATTAGCAAAATCAAGAAGTTTGGGAGCGGGAACTCACATGGAATGTCGAATAAAAGGGGTCTATTAGTGGATATAGCCATCATAGGTGGGATCGGAGTATACTAATTAAGAAGCTGAATGTTATATAAATTGTTTTTGCTAACTCCCACTGTTTTATTTCCAATTAATTAAGTTGTTGGATTACAGCAACCTTACACATATAGAGAATATAAATTTCTTTTATCAATTTGATTGATAAACGAGTGTTTCTTTTTTATAAGCATTGATAAATGGGTGTTAACTTGGATTATCTCATTTAAAAAATAACAGAGCTTCACGAATCGACCAAGGATAGATGTTACCATTGTTTTCTTTGTTGTTAATTCATTGAAAGTTTCTTTTTCTCTCTGATGATTGGGAGTCGTAGTTAGTGGTTGAAAGTGCTAATTCCATATCCAAATAAATACAATGACCAAGCATAAACTTATATTGTCATATTTATATTTGTGAAGAAATTTTGTTTCATTATTTAAAATTTGTCATACAATGTCGTGCTTACGACTTACTATTTATCATATTTATATTTGTCAGTAAATAACACTAAATCTTTGCTTCATTATTTAGAATTTTGAGTAAGAAAATGTTGTAAAAGTTAATATCAAAATATTATTTTGTTGTGAATCAATGTTAGAGCATCTCTATCGATAATATTCAAGAGGTGTTAAATATTAAAAAAAAACCTAAAATTCTATTTGGTACAAAATATTAAAGTTTCAAACGCTTGTGTTTTTTTTTTTTTAGTTTCATTTATATTTTTTTATTATCAATTGGTAAAGTTAATCTGTTATCAAATAAACTGTTTTTTCTTAAATCTTTTTTAATTTATATTTTCATATTCATTCATATTTATAAATATTCATGTGAAACATGAAATAATTACTAATGATAGGTTATAGTAATGAACGTACATATATATAGTCAAAGAAATATTCGGTGATCTCATCTTTCGGGATCAATATTCTCTGTAGCATATATATAATTATGTGTGCAATTAATTGATAAGCATTTGATAAATAACTCAAAATATTTTAATAATATTTTGAATAAAATATTTTTAGTTATTAAATAAAGAAAATATTAAGCTTTTTTATACTTTTAAGATATTAATATATATACTTTAAAAAAATATAAAGTAATAAGTGGATAAATAAAAAATATTATAAAAAAATATTCTATTTAATTATTTTTTAAGTGCACGCGATCCTATTCCCTCCCACATATGTCGACAAATCCAATCAAAGGCATCATTGCCATAGATACCGACCCACCAACCTGGTTATATAAAGTTCTCATAGATCTGCAGTAGATTAGCTTAACATAATCTTTTCCACTTTTGTAATCTATATTCTATGGTTCTATATTAATGACATTATAAGTCAAAGATGCAGTGATCTTATCTTTCATAATTAATCACAATTAACTACTTGCACATTGATACGTACGCTTGACCAAAGATGGATTATTAAATGAATGATAAGTTCACTGTTAACTTTGACTTAATTACGACAATAACACAATTAAAGGGACTGTTAACTTGAAGGTGGATTTTGAATGATTAGTATTATATACAATGCATATTAATTTGATGTTAATCTCTCCAATCAAAGGGTAGTTTATTTAGATAATTGTCACAGTTTGGATGGTAGT